ATGTGAGCATAGAAATTTGGATCCAACAAGGCTTGACTACTTATTGAAGGGTATGCACCAATTCACTTACATTCTCTGGAATAGGTTCCGACTTGTAAAAGGGCTTTAGATTGTCTTCCAGAAACTTCTCCCCAAAGGACTGTATGACAAAGTAGAACAATGAATGGAAGAAAAAAACTGTTTGCTAGTTGCTAGTATGTGCCCATGATATCTTTTATCTTTAAAATGGTCATTCTAAAGGAGAGCGACTATACAAACCTTGATATTGATTGAAGTCAATTCACCTTCCAACAAGAATTTCCTCCCATCATCATTTCCGGTATATGCAATGACCTGCAACCATTATATCCCAAATAACAGATAGTAAAATCCAACAATCATTTTATTTAGTTTTAAGAAATCAGCTCTGTAGTAAACAGCAATGACTTACCTGTGGGGTATCTCCTGTAATACCGAAGTACTCTGAGACTGATTTTCCAAAATCTTCGTTGTCCATTTCCACAAAAACACATACAAGCTAAAGTGGAATAAGAAGATTATCAGCAACTTTTAACACAGAATTTCACGTATTATAAATTATTAATATAATACGGATTTAGTAATACGATTTGAAGTGAGCATGGCAGTACTGTGTCAGGATACTGGATTATTGGAAAATAAAATTTGTTCACAATAAAGACAGCAGAAAGCACAGAAAAAGAGTAAAATTTTTACTTTGATCATGCTATCTTAACATTGATCCCCCCACACCCACCCCCCACCCCTCACAGATCCCCACCACCAAACACAACTAAAAAAAACTCTCTACTGCAAGTCATACCCATATCCAGAATAAATTATGGGCACATAATGTTGAAATATAGCTATAAATATAATGAGAATAGTGTTCAATGCACACCTTTCCTTTGAAAGACTTTGCAGCTTCATGGAATGTGGAAAGAAACTTGTCTGAATCATTTGAACTGGTGAAAAGAATTAACTGGAAAAAAATGGTGTTAGCCAAAACAAAGATGCCTAATATGATCACAATGCAAATCCTTTTCTGTGAAGGATAAAATATACGAGCATCACATATAAAAGCTCCATCAATGGCTGTTTTTACAGGTGGAGTTCCTTAACTGATTTCCTCATTGGCATTAAAAGGAACCATTAAATTATGAAATAAAGCACAAGGACTTCCTATAATTCAGACCAATACTATACATTAAAAAGGCCCAGATTAGAGATTCACCTGTTTCTTAATTGGATT